TACCATTATGAAAATGATAATAAAAGAACATAGATCCTTACACTGTGTTTTATTTATAAAAAAAATGAATTTTTCACGCCTACCAGGTTTAGCGTTTAGTGTTTTGTTAATTCGAAGACCGTCCGGGACAAGGCCCGGAAGCTGGAAGCCCCCAAATTTGAACTAGGAAGTCCCCAATACACGAAATGTCGAAGTTTCCGAGATACTGCGCCCCAAAAACATCGAAATTCGAATCTCATGGTCTCCAAAACATATAAACCCGAAGGTTCATTGGTTTGGAGACCTCGAGATTCGAATTTCGAAGTTTCCGAGACGCAGCACCACGGAAACTCCGAAATCCCGCGGATTGGAAGCTTCCAAGTCCAAATTTGGAAGCTCCAGTACCTACACTCCCGAAATATTCGCGACCGACACTCCCGGTTGAAGCCTTCATGGACGGATGGTGAAGGACATCCAGGAAAGTACCTCCCTTTGACGCTGGTGCCGAACTGTAACAAAAACATAAATATATAAAAAATTAAGAACAGTATTTGAAGTCACAAGTATTTATAATAATAATTTCTTTTTATATATAACAGACAATTTAGTTACTTTTGTGTACAATGTTCTTTTATCTTGTTTTACTTAATACAGGCTTGAAAATGACCTCGCAGAGAGCGTCGAAACGTTGCCGAATAAACAAAATTCTCTATTAATGATTATTTAATTCGTCCAAGAAAAAATCCCAAACTTTTTTCGTTCCTATTGGTCAGAAAAGCCAGCTAAACATAATGGTAAAATTAACCAAAAGTAACGTAACCAACATCGAATCAATATCCAAATGTTAATAGAAATAAAAAGAAATAATTGTTATCAAGTACAATTTTGTTAAACTATAGAAAGAACTGATGAGATGGAAGCAAAGTTATGTAAAAGAAAGAAATCGTAAATTTGGCCTAACAAATATAAATTGTTATTTGTCAAAAAATAAAAATCATGGAAGTTAAATAACAATTTTTTTAAACTGTAAAACGAAAAGGTGCTTCTAAGGAAAGGTTACGTAAGTGAAACGTCTAATTTCAAATATATAGATGCATGAGTAATGGAATAGAAATTATAACGTACAGAAATATCAAATTACACTTTCAACATTGAGTTAAAATGTTAAGGCGGGCAATGTATTTTTAAAAAGAAGAAACGTTAATAAGTGATCGTGGTCTGTTAGAAGTACTTGTGAGAAATTAAAAAATAAGTGCCTTAAACAATAAGAAAAAAAAATATTGAAAGATGCTTCAAATAAAAAAGAAGACCAAATAAGAAAATAAGCAAATGTGTAATTAAATGAAGAATAAATTTAACAATAACACTGTCGAATTGATTTTTTAGTAGCTAGATTTCTGATCTTAAAATCAGTATTTTCTTTAAACATTATTAGATATTCTTGTCAATATAGCTATTTGTATTATATGATATGTTTGAGTTTTTAGTTTAGAAGGATGTATCTAAACTAAAATACTGATTTTAAGATCAGAAATCTAGCAGTGTGAGTTTTATGTAAATTTGATTTTTTAAAATTGATTCCTAACTAGAAATAATAGCTGCTGTAAACTTTTTGAAGGCAAAAATGTTCAATTTCTTACAATAAAATCAGAGAAAGTAAGAAAAAGTTTCCTTTCCTTCTCTCATTTTATAAATTATGTTTAATGGCTAATGAAATAAAAATTATAAACGTGAAGAATAATAAAACTTACGTCGTGGTCCTCACCAGTTTGAGACATCGTTGTTTTCTCAGGATGGTTCTCCCAACTAATCTCAGGGCAGGAGTCCAGGAAAGAATACGAAAAGATCCTGCAACAAAATTAACCATTCAAATTTAACTAACTAAAAAACAAAAATTTTCATGTTCAATTGATTAATAATAATTACACTACAATATTATGAAATTAATAATACATAATACCACTATAAAATTAAATTTTGAAAAATTATAGACAATGTAAAGAATTGATGAATAACCCACCTTGTGGTCCATCGATCATCCCTTAGCACGAACTTTCCAATAAGCTTCAGCCATGACGACGAAACCAACCTACAATAAAATCAAATATTAATCATAACAAGCTATCGTTTTTGTTATTTATTTGTAGAATTAACACAAAAATATAGTCACAATTAAAATTCGATATCAACAATTTGTTAACTTAATAAACAATGAAACCTACCATTATGAAAATGTGTAGGTAAATCTAATGAAAACAGTTTAAAAGTAAGTAGAAAATAAAACAAAATAATTGTAAAAATCATAGTTAATATAATAGAATGAATATAATATTAAATGAGACTGTTTAAAATATAATTACTGTAATTGTTTTCGTTTAAAAAAATACAGTATAATTAAGAACCACCTTTTTTTTAAGTCATCTGATTAAAGTAAGTAGTAATAAACTTCAGCCAAAACTCAAAACTTAAAAAACAAATAAATTTAGACAAAAATTATCCTGTAGGGCAGTTATTAACTTCTTTTTCGAAAATTAATAAAACAATAAGATACAGCTAATATTGTTTGATCTAATTTGTTAATTTATACACTTGTAAAAGCAGTTAAAAAAGAAGAAGACAATGTGAAGAATAGAAGAATAACCCACCTTGTAGTCCAGCGATCATCCCTTAGCACGAACATTCCAATGAGCCTCAGTCACGACGACGAAACCAACCTGCAATAAAATTAAATATTTACCATAACAAGCTACCTTTTTTGTTATTTCTCTGTAGAATTAACACAAAAATATAATCACAATTAAAATCTGTTTTCAACAAATTGTTAACTTAATAAACAGTGAAACTTACGTTATGAAAATGTTTAGGTAAATGAAATGAAAACAGTTTAAAAGTAAGTAGAAAATAGAACAAAATAATTGTAAAACACGTAGTTAACATAATAAAATGAACATAATATTAAATGAGACTNTTTTCAACAAATTGTTAACTTAATAAACAGTGAAACTTACGTTATGAAAATGTTTAGGTAAATGAAATGAAAACAGTTTAAAAGTAAGTAGAAAATAGAACAAAATAATTGTAAAACACGTAGTTAACATAATAAAATGAACATAATATTAAATGAGACTGTTAAAAATATTATTACTGTAATTGTATTTAATGTATTGTTTAAAAAGATACAGTACAATTATTATCCACTTTTTTTCGAAAGTCAAAACTTGAAAAACAAATGAATTTAGACAAAAATTATTCTGTAGGGCAGTTATTTACTCCTTTTCGAAAATGAATAAAAACAATAAGAAATTACTGATACTGTTTGATAAGAAGAAAATGTGAAAAATAGAAAAATAACCCACCTTTGCAATCCGCCGATCATCCCTCAGCAGGAACATCCCTACAAACTTCAGCCACAACTACGAAAACAACCTACAACAAAATCAAATATTAAAGTTAATAAGAATGAAAATGTGTAGGTAAATGAAATGAAAATAGTTTAATTAAAGAAAACAAGAAACTACAGATGTTGTATAAACTAATTTGTTGGAGATATATGCAGAAACAATTAAAAAAGATGAAAACAATGTGAATGGAAGAATAACTTACCTTGTAGTCGGTCCATCCATCATCCCTCAGCATAAGCGTTCTCATAAGCTTCAGCCTCGACGAAGAAAACAGGCTACAACTAAATCAAAACTGTANTGTTGGAGATATATGCAGAAACAATTAAAAAAGATGAAAACAATGTGAATGGAAGAATAACTTACCTTGTAGTCGGTCCATCCATCATCCCTCAGCATAAGCGTTCTCATAAGCTTCAGCCTCGACGAAGAAAACAGGCTACAACTAAATCAAAACTGTAAGCTTAATAGTATTAAATAAATATAAGAATTTCAAATAGCAAAGTTGTTTTACATCTTTTTTTTTTCAAATTTAAACTGGACCACCCTTGAAATACAACTAATCCAATAAAAAACGAATTATTAAAATCGGTTCACAATTAACGAATAAATCGTACAACATATGTTCACAAGAAAAAATAAGACCTAATTAAGAACCCCTTTTATTGAAGTCTTTTAATTGGACAAAAGTTAAAACTTAGAAAACAAATTAATTTAGAAGTAAATGAAAAAGAAACTACTGACACTGTTTGATTTAATTTCTGAAGATAAAATCAATTAAAAGAAGAAGACTATGTGATACATTAAAGAAGAATAACTCACCCTAGGATCGGTCCATCGATCATCCCTCAGCACAAGCATCCTAATAAATTTCAGTCATGACAGCGAAAACGACCTATAACAAAATCAAATTTTAACCTTAACAAGCTTTACATTTTAATATTGCTATTTTTGTAACCAATTATGGTAAGCAAATTATTTATTAGAAAGCTTTGAGTTGCAGCTTATAAAGTAACAATGGCTGTTGTAAACTATTTGGAAACAAAAATGCTCAATTTCCAAACAATGAAATCAAGAAAGTAATAAGGAACGGTTTCTTTAATTCCCTAATATTTATATTATTGTATGTAGTACTTCATAACGAAATGAAAATTATAATGCGAAGAATAAAAAAATTACAAACATTGTAGTCACCATCAGATTGGCGCCTCGTTGTTCCTCGTGATAGATGTCCAAAGTAAACTCCGATGCAACTCGAGGAAAGAAGACAAAAAGATCCTGAAACAAAATTAATCGTTAATGTTGAATAGTGTAACACTTAATTAGACCAACTAATTAAAAAGACAACATAATAACATTATAAAATTAATTAATTCTCTAATTAGGCAGTAGTTACTTAGGCATTGCTTTCTAATCATGTCGTTAATAATTCAATAAGTATACATGGATGAAAAGATTATTAGAAAGAATAAGTGAGCAGAGGACTCTATGGAAGTCAATAAAAAAAACAAGGCGCGATAGGTTGTTAGTAAAACACCTTCTCAAGAATGAAGGTCTAGTCAGAGACTATTAGAGGCAGAAACAGAAGTTAAAAGGAGTAGAGGAAGACTTAGATTAGATTACTGTTTGCAAATAGTTAAGGGTGTGAGATGTTCTAATTTTAGGGAAATGTGAAGATTCAAGGAAAGAAAATAAGAAACTTTTTGTCTTAAATATTCATAAATACCACGTAACTTATAAATAAATAAAATATAATTCGATTGTTTTATAAATTGAGAACCCTGAATCAAATTTTTAACTAAATTTTCGGGTTCGTTGTTTGACACCCGCTGTTGGTATCTCTAGTATAAAGAATAAACTGAAAAATAATGCAGCCACCGTAAAATCCTTCATACAAAACCACTTCTACTATTTAACAGCGCAAAAATCATTTTAGAAACTTAGACGTTAAACGAACAATTTTGATTCAAATTTTTTCGGGTTCGTCGCTTGACGCAACGTTGATATCTCCACGCATTTGCTTAAATAACTCAAAAACTAAAGGAACCAGCGAAAAGTTTTTCAAACAAAAGTGTTTCCACCACTTAAGAACTATACCCCTGTGTGCAAACAAATTTGATTAAGGCAACGTTTCGTCAAAAAATAGCCATTTCCAGCCTTAATGTTAGAAGCTCATATTTGTGGAGCGAATTGAACACAAAATTAGGGCAAAATTAGTCATAACGACGAACTAATAGTTTATAAGAAGTGACAATGACACTTACTTAAGCACTTTTTGCTAGGTTCTTTATTTGAACATCTGTGAGTTTCTTGTGCTACCTTCATGAGCTAGTCAGAATATTTTATACACCCGAATATATTAAAATTTCGGATGTTTCTATAGAAAATTTAAAAATATTAGAATTTCTAATGTTTTTGCAGGGAATTTCATACGCCCAAAAATATTAGAATTTCAGATGTCTTTGTAGGAAATTTCATACGCAGCGTAAGGTGTCCTGGCTATTTTTCCCCGTCATTATGTGCCTTATT